AATATCTGTATTGTCCATTTGCAATATCAGTATCGTATCGGAAATGAAAAAGTTGTATCGGGACACCCCTGAATAATGGTTTATTAATCATCAAGTGTAGTGTGTAGTAGTTATAGACCTAGAGAACAATTACAATGTTTTTTGTACATGTGCTTTACAGCAAGGAAATCTTGGAGTTAACCTTGGTTGTAACATTTCAATCCAAATACTAGTATTAAATAGGAGTGACAGTGGTGTTGGATGAAGTAGTTTGCCCTGCAACTGAAGGATTGTTGGTTCAAGCCCCGGCTCTGGCTTTCTATAATTTTACACAAATTACCCATACTTTGGTCAAAGTAACCAATTTTTATTGTTTTGCTCTTTTACCGACAAAGATTGGTTAATTCAGTTTATTTATAAAGTGCAATTCACAACACATGTCATCTCAAGGCACTTTACAATTCAACCAGATCATACAGTCAAATTGATTAAAAGTTTTCTATCTAAGGAAAACCAGCTGGTTGCATGGACTCATTGACTGGAAGACAATCCCTCACACCAAGCATGCTTGTAGCGACAGTGGAGAGGAAAAACTCCCTTTTAACAGGAAAATACCTCCTTAAAAAACAGCCATAATAGATTGGTTGTTTTAACCAAAAGATAGGCTGGACACATAGCTACCAACCACATCAGTAAAATTCAACCATTTTTGTGCTGTATTAACCAATCTCTTCTTAGAGTGTGGAATACGAAACCTTTCACTGTAAAGCATTTCTTTTTGCCATATTGAGTTTACTTGACTGTCTCTGACATTTAGCCAGTGAACCCAGTCCATATGAGCCTGCTGGTACACAAATCCATATTAGCTAAGATATACCAAATTCATGACAGGTGTTCGCAGTTGCACCATGATACCTTTGGGACCCCCTAAAGGGCTGGTTATACTCCTGTAGCAGTGTGTCGCAGTGAGCATGTCGCAGGTATGACGATATTTTTGATTTATGCCCAATTTTGAAGCGTGGTCTGCATTTTGCTATTCCTCGCCACAACGCATGAGGGACAATCACAAACTGGCTGTGGGTTTAGATACGGCCGAGGTGGCAAGGGAGTGGGGGCAAGTTTGTACGACAACGGAGGGACATGAGGGCGAAAAAGAGCGGGGATCCAGGTGGAGAAAGGGTCACTGCATTCTCACGCACCTCGCTCTTCTAGCTGGTCCATCTTCACGTGTCGCTTTCCACAATGGCGGTCATACAAACAAAACAAGCCAGTAAGGTGCCAAACAGGAAATATGCATAGCGTAGATGGACGCAGATTTGACCAATCAGAGGCCTCCTGTCTTTTTGAGAAATGCACCAGAGTGTCTGCGGAAGGGGCGGGGGCATATCGTCAACTGTGACACACATGCAGACGACATGGTTTCTGAGCAAAAACCAGCCTTAAGATTTCAGTAGGCTGAGATGAGTAAATCATCATCAGTGCAGGCAAAGGAAGTGCATAGAAGAGCATGGAATAAATGAATGTTATTATAAAGTTTACCACCTTTGTTTACCACCTTTGTCAAGGTTTTAAATTATATAATTCATAACAATCTAATTTAAGTCAAATTGCTGAGTTATCTCCTTAGCATGCAATTATAGCATGTAATTCGTAATTTGGTTTGTTGCAGCAACAACAGAACTTAAAGTTGCCAGACGATGGTCTTACACAATTGGGGTCTGACCCCTTTCGCCTGATGGAGATTCAAAGGTCAGAGAATGACCTAAAGTTTTTTTAAATGGTAAAAAAATGTATTCTTGCTTTTGAAATCTTGAATGTCTAGTCTACATGCCATAAAAGTGAGCTACTGCTGGTAAACCAATAGCTGTTAAACACCCATCATTAGAGGAGCATTTCGAACAGTCCTAATAGTTCCTGTGTTTGATAAGTTCCATTATCATAAAATTAAAATATTTGATAACTTGAAGAATGTTGTTACTAAAGAATAAAGCTGAAAAAAAGATTAAATTATACACAAAAACTCTTCTTTTCCTCTTAATTTTTACTTCTGGGTCTTCTTTTTAGTTAATTAACAATTAATTAGGTAAAGTGGAGACAAAGTCAAATTAAGCTAAAATTAACTTTTTATCATAGTCTATTTTTTTTTATCATGGTCACAGTTTCAAAACTTAAAAAAACTTGTCATATGTAGAAAATAAATGATTAGTGAATTTATATCATATCATTTATTTCGATGGGCTGACTTTATTCTTATACTTGGTTAAGTCAATTTGCTAATATTTACAGCCAGTCGTTGTCAAGCGGATCAGTTCCTACTGTGAATTGATTCTTTGTGCTCCAGCTCCCTGCACTAAAACTAATCTAGTCGACTTTCATAACTAGTGTAATCTGATTATAAATGCCACACCGAACAGTGTGGCAGAGATCACAAACCTCTTGCTGAGAGGTACCAACAGGATTCCTGTTCTGACTGGAAACATTCTCCCCATTAAGCAGGAGATTATACACCCTGCTACGTCACTGGAAAAATAACCCACTAAAGTCTGCCAGGATTAATACTAATTACTGAAATTCTGACTATAGGTTGATTGTTTTTTAAACATGCAATGTCTGTATTTCAAGTTAACCAGAAAAAAAGAATTGTGGTATTAAGAGACCAAAAAGGATTATTTTCCTTTATTTTCCTCCTAAAACCCTAATGTTTGGTTAAACACTGAACTGAGTTCTACTTGTATTACTGCAAACTTAAATGTACAGAGCAGACTTGCTAACAATAGCTCCATGTCACATTGAACTTAAAGTGGCTCATTTCCTTTTTCAGTTCCTCAAATTGACTAATGTTTATGTTTCAAACCAACTCTGACATGTGGTGTGTTTCTCCTGTAGCAACCGCAAAGGAAGATCCTCCCTGGTTTGTTTGGGTTACACAGCGAAGGAATGAGGGGAGTGGGACGAGGGGGGTGCAAGGGCATGAGGAGAAGATGACAGAGGAAAAGGGGGTGTTAGACAGCTTGGACAATGCACTCTGAATATAAAAAGAGGAATAGTAAATGGCTTGGGGGTGGAGAATTGGAGAAAGGAAAGTAGAAAGGGTGGAAACAGGGAAAGAGATAGGAGCAGCTGTGGGGGGGAGGAGAAATAATTGATGAAAAACCCTAAAAGTGACTTAAGGTGGAGAAGAAGGGTATCCAGGAGAAGGGACTGGGTGAGTCTATGCAAAGGAAAGGATGGGAAAGATAAGGGGCATGGGAGGGAAAACAAGGAGGAGGAGGGCAGGGACCCTGGGGTTAAATTCCTAAAGTGCAACCGACCTGGTATTGTTCCACTGCCTAAATGTAAACACAGGAAAGAGGCATGGACTGACAGCCTGTCACAACGGCTGAGACAAATTTAAATATGGAACAGTGTTTCCAAGATATAAAGTTGAAAGATTATGGAAAAGCAATGGATGTTAAATAAGAAGGGGAAGAGTTTATGGATATGTAGAAAAACTAACATATCTAAAAGTTTTCATACTCATATATTTCTCCTGTTCTTTCATTAAAAATTGGGACTGTGCATTCATTTCCATATAGGAGACTTTAAGAACTTTACAAAATGACAATATTCTTGGTGCTGAGGTGATACATGCAGTGTTAGTAGTTTTTGACTAACTGAAGGTGGTAATCAATAATGTCCTTGAAGTAAATGTGATTTTGCTTTTTAATTCAGTGCTGTTGTAAATTATTTCTACAGTTCACAGAAACTCTCTTATCAAACAAGTGAAAATGTCTTTTATGTTGTGTTCTTCCACCATCTAGTGGTCAATATGTGCCATTGCAATAGAAAGGGGCCTGCTGTGATACTTTTTTTTATCAATAGAGGGCGACAAGGTGTATATTAGCCCTGCTTGTGTTTACTGTTTAGAAGACTTGTAATTAAATTTTTGTATCAAAATAATAGTTTTTTTCTATGAAGAGTTTTTATTATTATTTCTGAGCCAATCTCAATCTCAATGTACTTCCTGCAAATGTTTTCTTGTGTATTTCTATCTTTAGATGCATCTATATTCTCCTAAACTCTCTCTAGTTTCCCTTTCCCTGCTCAACCAGAACAGGCCTACATCATGGTTCCACTATTACAATGTTTGTGGGCGTTTAGGGTAACTTTTTAAGTTTTGTTTCACTCACTCACTATGTGTAAATCATATAATTATCTTTGATCTTGTCTGATCAAACGCATTAATGTGTTCACTGTTTGCTCTATTTGACTTTTGTTAACAACCTTAACACTATGGCAACTCTTTATATTTGTATGTTGTAAGCTTCTACAGTTAAATTCATTGTCCTGTTTGGATATCCTCTTGAGCTTTCGATTTCTACAGCTCCTTAAAAGTCATTCTGATCATTTCCTTTAATTTTTAACTATTGGTTTCCATGTCTAGGCTGTCAGACCAGGTGATTGTTGATATGTTGGTAGGTTGCAGACATAGTAATCGGTGGATGTTTGAATTGGTCATGCAGTTTTATAACCAAGCTGAGCTATAAAATGACTCCAAAACTTTCCCCTAACTTGTTTGTTGTTTTCCTTCGTCTAGATGATGTTGTTTATTTACATATAGTCTCAAACGAAACCCACAGGCCTTCAAAGAGCAGTGGATTTATACTCAGAATAAATTGCGGCTGTAAATATTGACCAAGGCACACACATTTAGAGAAAACAAACTACTCAGCACATCTTTCAGATTTCTATTTGCTTTCAAAGCCACTTTACATATTTCCTACATTTGAAAGTATTGCCCAACATGGTCTAGTTCAGTGCGATAGAATCCCCTTTGAATCTTTTGTGTGAAACACGTAGAAAAGTACGATTTCAGTGGCAGAAAAGAGTGCAACTGAAGTGTGGCATTAGAAAAGAGATGTTAATGGTTTTCTTCACCTAATTTTTTTCTTTATATTAAAAATGATTTACCGTAAATACAGACATTTGGAGTTGAGGCAAAAATATTCCTTCTACAGCAGGTTTAAATTTAAATAGTTAATTTATTATTTTACAAATGTACAAGAACAAAAAAAGGACAAAAGACAGAAGTGTCCCTGAGGAGAACTGTTTCACACATTTTAGGGAAACGAAAGCAGCTTTTTAAAGCTCTCTGGTAATTCAAAGCAAAGGGAAATAACAGATATATCAGACCTTTCTCTGAGCCAAACAAACAGGGTGGACATTTTACTGTTAATCATCCTGAAAAAGTGGGACGGCGTTACTTAAATAACTGGATGTAGCCAAACATATATGGTTCTTTTGTACATGAGAACAAAAACCAAACAAAATCTCCAAGCTCATTTGAAAAAGTAAAAAAAAAAAACTCCTCAATGTACAGATATTGCACTTATTGGAACTGACAGCACATACAAAAGGGCAAAAAATATATAAAAAATACTGCAATACAAATATTTACAGTTCCTTAAACAGCCTGCTACAATGCTATTTCCATTTAACACAACTTTGTTATTTTTAGAAAAAATATGTTATTGTTGTATTATGACCAAAATAAAAATGCTTAGTATTGCTGGGATATAGAAACATTCAAAACAGTTTTGAAATAAACCTAGAGCAATTACTCCAGCGGTAGTCAGTGTAACATAGAAGTGCTTGTGTGTCTAGTTTTGCTTCTCGTCTTGTTATTCCCATGAGATGTTCCCATTAGATGTTTTTTTATATTGTGGGCTGAGACATCACTCTGCTCCCCCACAAATGTCATTTCCTTAGAAAGTTAACCATGGTTGTTCAATGACGCACACCTTCCCTGGGTAAACCTAAATACTTCCCTGTGCTTTGAGAGCCCACGCATTGGCAGTCATTCCCTGGTGAGTCACAGACTTGTTGAGCGTTCCTGTGCAAGCTTTAGGTCACATGTTCAGTTCAGTGACAGATAGCTTAGAACCCATGCTGGAAGACAGGTGAGCTTCAGTCCGAATGTTCTTTTAGATTCTCAAGAATCCAGTTTTTCTCATCAAACACAATTTAAATGTATGGACTCCCTGGATCACAAAAGGGGATAAAGAAAGCAAATAAGAGATGCAAGCAGAAGAAAATGTATGAAGTAAACATTCTATGAATAAATTCTGTGCTAAATGGTAGACATAAAATCTTCATCAAGGACATAACTTTGCATATTCGTTGTCATCAACATATGTGCTTTAATATGATGCATTTATATAGTAAAATAATGTGGGATGCATTTATAAGACATGTGCTCGACCAACCATACTTACTCTATTACATTCCTTGCTGCTTCTAGAAAGAAAAAAAAAAGGGAAACATGATAAGTATTTTTGCATCTTTTTTCATAGTGAATCACAAGAGCTGAAATGCTAATTTGTTTAACTCTCAGTAGAAGTACCTGTTTCTGTACATGTATTTCTTCTCCTTAATATTAAACAAATCATTAGCAGCAACACCCCGACAAGGCCACAGACAACTGTTGCAGCTATCACAGCAATAGTCATGGTAGGTGGGGCCTCAGGTGGGGCCTTGGGAGAACCTTCAAAAAAGAAATAATCAATATCAGAAACAAAAACTTACATGGTGATTTAATGCATGAATAAGCTTAGATCTAAACCACTTCCCTGTTGCATGGTATAAAGCTGCCACTGTTATGTGTATATGTTTAAAAAACAAGAAGTGTTGCTTATATGGATTGATGTTTTGTACTTCCACCATGTTTTGCCATGTAGGCTAAACGGCTAATGTCCCCTAAATGGCTTGTGTCAATCTTAAAATGAGCTATCATTGTTTTATGCTGATGAAGATTCTCAGTCATCCAGGTGATAGTCATTCCGTAAAAGTTAAAAACAATCCACTGGACTTGGTTTCCAAGGTTTGAAGACATTCAAACCTTGAAGATGTTTCGCTTCCCCTCCAGGAAGCTTTCTCAATTCAAATGTCTGGATCAGCAGTGAGTTTGAGGCTTTATATAGACATGGCCTTGTATTGCTTGGACACATGCAAATTGAAACCAAGTCCAGTGGATTGTTTTTAACTTTTACGGAATATCATGGTTTTAGTTCAGTATTTGCCTTTTCTGATCACTCTTACAAGGGTGTGACTGCTCACCCTTCACCTTGTACAAACCCACCCGCGAGTGGAAAACTAGTGTTCTCTAAAAAGTGAAGACGTAAATTATTTAAAACTTTCCCATAAAGGGGAACTTCCTGACTGAGTTACTAAAAGTGGAATACGGGATAAAGAGGTCATTGTACTGTATTGAATACTTACACACTGAGACATTTGACATGGAGTCGTCGATAAAGCAGAATGCAAACACTTCACCACCGGAGCAGTTGATAGTCGCAGTGCTGGAGATATTAACCAACTCTGTACTGGATGGGTCTCTAACTCGATTCGAAACCTTCCACCTGTCTTTGGTGATATTTCCTTTAAAATCCCAGCTTATCTCTTTTCCTGGTAGCCCATTATATGAATCACACTGCACATCACATTCCAGTGGTATGCCATTTTCGTTGCCACATCTGTGTGTGATAACAGGCTTAGTGAAGAAGGCTGCAAAAACAACAGATAAAGTGAAAGTCATATGAGTATTTCTTCTTTTCTCACAAATTTAGTATTCAAGCAAATGGAGCGATAATCTTAAACAGTGTTAAATATCACTGTTTAAGATGAAAAGTTACAACAATAAATTTAAAAACATTGATTTCCTCTTTATGTTAAACATTAAATGAGAGGAAAAAAGAAATAAGGCTCCCCACCAGAAAAAAAAACAGAAGGAGAAGGAAACAACCCACTATATTCTGGGATAACTTATAAAAAAATATAGAAATATACGTAAACCTTCCTATATCTGTCTAAAAATAGATGGTGCGTCCAAATTTCACAGTACGGTAGATTTATGGCTCATTAGTTTACTCTAAACCATTTCAAGGCGTTTCCTACTTCAAACTTTTGATTAAGATTTTATAGCTCCCCGGTTCACCCCACCACCACCACAAAGAATAGAATTTATTAATATGAAATACATGACAAATAGATTGATAATTATATGAAAAACTTGCCTACCTGTGACATTGAGATGCATCAATTTCTTATTGACCGGATTTTTGTCATGTTTATACTTATAGGAACATTCATAAGTACCACTGTTGGACAGCTTTAGTCCAAACATGTGCATTATTGTGTTTTTGGGGTCCATTTTTGTGTTTGGCATTGGTTCCAAAGGTTTTGAAGAGTGATATCCATTATAGAAAATTCTATCTTGCTTGTCCACAATTTTTTGAAAGTACAAAAATTCTAATTTCCTACTTTCATCAACAGGGCAGTGAATGCTGATGTTTTCACCAACCACCTTAGTTTCTGGGGGAACAGACCCTGGAAAAAGAGGAGAGAACAAAAAAATCAGAAATAATATAGTAGTAGTAATGAAATAGCTCAAGACCACAAAGAAAAATCAAGAAATAACAAACTAATTTTTACCACTAAATTTTACCAGTAAACTCTTCTCTTTAAGCTCTTTCTCTTTTCTTTAAGTTTTTAAGACTCAGTAGAACAGTATACAGTATATCCAGTTGCTTTTGATTTCATTTTGTAAAATTTCTTCCCTAGCAGTGTTCCTGCATTTTTTTTGTAAACCAAAGCTTCTTAATGGTAAACTGAGACATTTTCAGGGCAATGAGATCCGCTTTTGAAACAAGATTAAACCTAAGCTTGAATGAAACTTGTTACTGGGCAAAAAAAAAAAAGAAAAAAAAAAGCTAAACGTAGTTAAATTATGCTTATATTTTTAAAAACTGTTTATACTTATTAGCTATATCACACTTATACAGTATCTGAAGTAAAACACTGTTTAAAAAAAAATCCCATGCAGCTAACATCTTACTTTCTGGAGGACACATTTAATAAAACAACTTTGAAACAACTCTAAAAAAGAATGAAAATAATTATTTATAAAATGAAGAATGTATAGAATGACCCTGAACTCACTTCAAAATACTGTTCAACTACAACAGAGTGTCTCCAGTCAAAGATTTCCTGCCTACAGTTATGAGCATCTACAACAACTCGTTGTGAGAGACTGAAGTATTTTTAAATTGAATTGAACAGAAGAGTGGATTTAGAGGTTTACACTTAAGAAAATGCATTAATATTTTAACATTTATCACTACTACTGTATATGGCATATTGCATATACTCTGTTCCTACAACGCCTACCCTGCTTGTGCACATTAGGAGGAGAGAGGAGCAGGGCAGGAGCTTAATTGGTTGGATTTCAAAAATATCCTCTCTTGTTTAAAAAAAAAAAAATAGTCAACTTCAGTTTAAACTACATAAGAAATGTCTATTGTTATTTTTTTAAGACAAGGCCTAGAAACCTCTTTATTTTCTGCTGTACTGGAGTTCTGATCATTTGAAGACACATTTTATTCCATTTAATTTGTTTATTAATTGACCATCAGCTATCCCATACACTAATGTTTGCTGTTCTTCCTGTGGCCAAGAACATATCCTTAACAAATAGTTTTTAGTAAAATATCTCCAGGTCTAAATTACAGATAGTCTCCAATACTCACTTGTAGGAACCGAGTCAACTCCGGATAGCTTTAAAACTACAGTCATCAGGTAAAGGAGGAGCCCTGGTCCACTAGATACACAGAAAAGAATATACATTTATTAAAAAACTGCAAATATGTAACAATAAAACAAGACTAAAGTAAATAAATACTTTTAAAAATGTTGCATTTATACAAAAAATATGATCAGCTACCCATTGATGTAATCGTGCAAAAAGGCACAAATAGAAGTGAGGAGCAAAATCCTTTGATGTTTCAGATTTTTTTCAGTTTAGGAAAATATGCTACACCACAATAAGTGAAGCATGAGACCGTACAAGTATCAGAATTAGTAATGTGTGAACATTTACAGTCACTGTATTCACACCCTTGGGACATTTGGGGGACTTTTAGTTTCATGCGATGTAATGACTTGGCATCACATTTTAATATGATCAGTAACCCTCAGGCACTTTTTCATGGCCAGGTTTTCCTTAAATAACTCTGAATGTTGAGGTTTTCTAATAAGCAAAATTAGAGACACTAAATGATTATCACTAGATGTCCCGGAGAATTTCAGTTTTCCTGCAAGCCCCCCCTCCCCTCTTCAAGTTTGTGTATTCACTCTACCTTGCTAACTGTCCCTATTGTAATGCAAATAACTTGTGATATGACCACCCCTTCTACATGAGGCTGAGGCTGAAAAAACCTGGAATCAGAACAAGAGCATGTTTCAAGCACTTTTCTTAACCTGCCCCTGCAAAATTAGACATTTTTGCAGGAATATATTGTTAAGTAATATCTAAATTTTTAATTTAGGCAAACCTATTGAATAACAAATCATGTTGGTTCTTGTTCCTGAGCTGAGAACAGGTCATAATTATGCTTTTCCAACAAGCTGGGTTTAAGCTGTGGGATATTGCGTTTGTAGCAATTACTGCTTCCATTCATCTTTACTTTTTCAATGTAGGCTAGTAAAAAAAATTTAAACATATACATGTACTGTCACATTATTTATTATTAAACAGCCTGCAGTTGAATTTAATCACAAAAAAACATATTAAGAAATGGGAAGAGTACTTACAGGAGAATCTGTGAAAAACTTGGCCCCTGTTAAGAAAAATAAACAAGTCAAATAACAGAAGTGTGAACTAGACTATCTTAATCCATATTTACAGTAATCTGTCATCAGTCTATTGAAACCGCCTGACATACTTTCTCACATGAATGTTTAGCTGTTTAAAATATTTTACAAGGTATAAATGAGTAATGTAATGATCTAAATATGGCCTTTTCAAATTGCATTTACAAAAAGTCAGTGTATGATTAGATGACACAGTCAGCACTAATGTATCAGACAATTTATTTGAAATGCCTGGTTTAACCTTTATCATTCTTATGTGGGACTTTTTTGGATTTTTTTATGTGATCAAGCCAGTAGGTTCGTCTGCAAACGGGATGTCACAGGGAATTCCCTTAAGCACAAACAGAAGGACTCTGTTCTAAAAGGAACTCAACCTGTTTTATAGACAATAATTAACACAAGGTATCTTCAGCAATTAACTTTATGTTTTCTTACCAATGTCTATCTGTCTGTGACTTATTTCCCTGAGGAATAATGATTTTATGTATTTATCAACTTTTCACTTGAATCAGTACGAAGAAATGTAGATGAGGAAATGACTTTTTTCCATCTTTGCACTGGCAGCTGATCCGAGGAAATTCCCAAGCATGCAAATACATCTTTTGTGTTAGGATCTTATTTTGTGGAAGTATAAAACCCAAAATATCCGAAGACAGCTAAAAGTTGTAGCTGCTTCTCACTCCTATTTGAGAATAGTTGTTTGTCTTACCACTCCACTCCAAATACCAAAAAAATAGCTACAATACAACATGAAAATGATAAGCAGTTATGTGTCATACACAGAGCAGGTTCTTGTCTGCTGTAAGGAGAAAACAAATTCCAAGAAAAATTCCAGGAGCCAATTATTACCCTATTGGGCAGTACAGAATTATTTTAGAAACAAGATGAGTGTATCTGGAGTGTGAAAGTAACACTCATAGCTAGGCAGCTACATGAACAACATGTAATATGTTTTAGATCATTGATTCCCAAAGTTCTTTAACCAGTATGGGGTCTTTAGATCCACTATAGAAATTAAATAAACAATAAACATTTATGTTAAAGTGCTTTAAGATATGAAAGCATCACAAAAAATTTAAAAAAAGAAACTAACTACTTTTGTTTTCTATGCATTTTTCTGTTATACATGTAGTTAATTGATTTGTAGAAGTGTTTGTGTACTCAATAGTTTGGGTCATGAGTCGACTGTTGTTGTTCTTTGTGGATCAGAAACAGAAACGTTTTGGAAGCTCTGTTTTAGAGGATCTTGACATATAGTAGAAGATCCGATAGATGAGTGCACATATGTAAAATACGATTCCAACACTTATGTTGTTTGTTTAAACAATCAGCAAAAGAGGTGTTGCCTTCACTGTTTCAGTTTCCCACAACACTTTTTATTGGGTTTTACTTTGTGATTCACACAGGGAATAAATCTCTGTGCAACCAATAGGCCTACCGGTACATAAAACCAACCTGTTAGAGGTTGGTCTACCTGGATTAAGTACCAGGTACCTGCCGCACAAGCAGACATGGCCAATTTATTAAATTTCTCTTTCAATAAAGCATTTTTTTAACTCAATGGAAATTACGTGTTAATAAAAATCATGCCAACAGTAATAGTGTCAGTGAGTCATGCGAATGATATTAATATACACTAGATAATAGGTTTGATTCATTTACATTAGTGTGTTCACTAAAAAACAGGTCATAAAATCGATAAGCCGGACAATTTTTTTAAAAGCTTTATTGATTTTCCTGTGGGGTTTGATATTAAAAGTAGCTGGGTGATAATAAATGTTTTACTGCATTTTTTTGACTGAATAACTCCTATAAGATAACATTAGCCTTTAAAGGTTAAGAAGTAGATGAAAAAATGCGACTTTATTTAAGAATTGGTCATTAATGCACTTTAGACAGGGGTATATCATACTATGTTACATGATTAGTAAGAATTTAATGATATTGTTTATTGTACATTACTCTAAAAAATATTTATACATTCTACCCAAAGTTATCTGCGTAATATTCTGAATCCAACTATCCAGCTATCAAACTATTATTTAACTAGGATTCAAAAGACAGCACAAAGAAGGGTATCACTTTAACCAATATTTGAGATTGATATCCATAATTTCTTTTGTAATTAACAAAGCTTTAGTACACTTATTTAGTTGTTATTTTTGAGACAAAAAAAGATTAAGTCTCAGAGTAAATCTGGAACCCTATCTCTCTATATTTTACTTTATTAGGACATGTATTTGTTTATTAGGGAATTTCCACACTGCTGGTCCAAGGATTGGTCCAGAGATTGGCAGAAGTGAGAAAATCCACACGTTCTGTTGCCCTGGTTCGCTTTCACACTTAAATCTTGGGCCGAACAACATGATCCAGTTGAAGCGTTTCTGGGGCAGTATTGCTCCAGTATTGTGCTGATCAAGAAAAAGAAAAAGCACAAAGGAGAGTGTCTCATAAATTATCTAGGACCAAAGCAGATCATTCTCCTCTCTCTTCCACCATTCTGTTCACAACACATGCATTAGCAAGCAGTGTTGGCGTTTCTCTTACTACCTTGGTGATTTGAAGTGCTCTAATGCTACATCCTCTCTTTCCGCTTTTGGTGTTTTGGGATGCAGCAAGCAAACTGTTTAAGAGTTTAAATGGACTGTGCTAAGACCAGCAGTTCTATTGATGCC